TCTATCTTGTCTCGTGCTCAAGGCTCATTATTAACACGGTCTGCTGGTCACATTCATGCAACATAGACTTGAGGGTTCTCCAGATTTAAGGAGGCCTCTCGTAATCACAGCCATTCACTCCATTCCTGTCTTCAATTAGCAGCAAAAGAATCGCTTCAGCCACATAGGTTACTAAATGTAAAGGTAAAGGTCTCCCTTGCTTGAAAGCTAGTCGAATCCGACTCTAGGGTTGCGGTGCTCATCTCCGTTTCAAAGCCGAAGAGCCAGCGCTGTCCGAAGACGTTTCCGTGGTCATGTGGCCGGCATGACTAAACACCAAGGCGCGCGGAACGCTGTTACCTTCCCACCGGAGTGGTCCCTATTTATCTACTTGCAATTTCTTGCTTTCACACTGCTAGGTTGGCAGGAGCTGGAACCAGAGACGGGAGCTCACTCCGTCATGCGGCACCCGGGTCTTGAACCGCTGAACTACTGACCTTCCACAGCCTGCAGTTCAGCCTCTTAACCACTTCAGCCACCGCAGCTCCTCACATAGGTTAGCCTGCTGCAAAGCCCTGTAGGTGGGGCTGTCCTTGAAGAGCATTCGAAAGCTGCAGCTGGTACGGAATTCTGCAGCCAGAATGCTGACTGCTGTGGGTGATAGAAACGACATCATGCCAGTCTTGTTCCACCTTTCATGACTCCCAGCTGGCTTCTGGGCCCAATTCAAGGGGCTGATATTGACCTTTAATGGCCCATACGGCTTGAAACCAACCTACTCCAAGGACTGCCTACTCCCATATGAACCTACTAGACCACTATGGTAATTTCAGCGTCCTTTCTCTGGGTGCCCTTGCTGTCTGAGGCTAGCCAGGTGGCAACCAGAGGAAGGGTCATGGCATCGAAATTATGAAATTATGTCATTCCCTCCCCAGGGAAATCTGTCTGTCCCGTATTTTACTGTCTTCTACCAGCAGGTGAAGACTTATCTGTTCCATGAGTAAGATGCCATCACTTCAGCATTGGCCTTTCTGTCTGGCAACAATAGTGGGAGAAATTACCACATTACCACACACACCACCTCCTGGTTGCTGGTTTTCATATTACTAGAGGCAGGGGTCATTTCGTAGAAAAAGAGGTGCAGGGGCTCATTAGCATAACTCATTAGCATAACTTATTTGCATAGGCCACACCCCCTGACATCACCAGAAGTGTGTCAGAAGGCACCCACCGCTCAGGCTCCGCTGGACTGTTTTGGATTGCTAGCTATTGGGGGGGGGGCGCAGATCTGCCCTCGCAGAGGAGGGAGAGCTTGTACCTAAAGGCGGGCCGGGGCGGGGGGGCTCTGCAACTTACCTGGCTGCTTCTTGCTCCTCGTGGCCCAACTAAGGGCAGCTGGGAGCAGCGGGCAGGGCTTGTTGCATGTGCCCGCCCCCTGGGCTCCTTACTGCCGGAGCTCTGCTCCTGTGCGCTCCCGCAGGAAATGACCCCTGACTAGAGGAGTTTGGGCCAATTCCCATGGACAGAACTCTCAGGTCATACACACCACTTATGAATTCAGGCATAATTACTCATGGGGTGATCTGTTGGTAGCATAATTTCTTCAGTCGGTAAGGTTCTTGGTGGAGTTCCCCTCTCTGGGGTTATTATCTCCAAGGCGATGGTGCGCAATAAAAAGCAAACTGCAATTGCCTGCACGGTAAAATCCCAAGTAAACAATAAACCTTCTCATCATTTCTAAAATCCAAATGGAACATAATGAGCTATTTTTCAGCCGTTTTCAAAGACCTTGAAGCACTGACTGGGAGGGGGGGGGAAGGCTCCCAGCATGGCCAAGGCAGACATATTTCAGGCAGAAGATTAACACCTCACACACCTATCAACAGACAGAGGCGTTAAGTTGAACGAGATAACAGCATGTGCAGTCAAGAAGCACTATATCCCATGAACAGCACAGGAAGGTTATAAACAGACAATCCTTTAAAGCCAGCTTTAAAGAAAGGAAAATGGAAGCTTGCCAAGCAGAGGATGGATCGAAGGAATGACTAACTCTCCCTAGGGGGGGAGAAATGAGTTTCGGCACTAAGGATGATAAGGGGAACAAACATTCCAGCACTGCACCTTCAGAACCTGACTGGCATGAGGCAGACACAGCCTTCTGCAACATCAGCTATTGATCACAGTGAGAAGCCTCAGCATGCTAAATTGCATGATGGCAGATGGTAATGTTATTGAAAACACGCATGGTGTTTGGGTAGGCCTTGGCCTACTCTTTTCTACCTTGGAAGTCGGATTCAAGCGACAGAATTGCATTTGTAGAATACAGCTATCAACCCACACCGAGTAAGGCAGATCTGAGCATAGCGGCAAAGATAGCGTGGTGAACAAGTCGGGCAGCCACTTAAATGAAACGTGACATTTTGAAGAGAAAGAGAAGCTGATGTTTAATACTTGCTAGTGAGAAAGAGACTTAACCATTCAGTCCTAAACAGAGCTACACTGCTCTAGGCCCACTGACATCATCAATGGATTTAGAAGGAGGAGGAGGAGGAGGAGGAGACTGGATTTATACCCTGCCCTTCACTACCCAAAGGTGTCTCAGAGTGGCTTACAAACTCCTTTCCCTTCCCCTCCCCACAACAGACACCCTGTGAGGTAAAAGAAGAAGAAGAAGAGATTGGATTTATACCCGCCCTTCACTACCCAAAGGAGTCTCAGAGCGGCTTACAAACTCCTTTCCCTTCCCCTCCCCACAACAGACACCTTGTGAGGTAAAAGAAGAAGAAGAAGAGATTGGATTTATACCCCGCCCTTCACTACCCAAGGGAGTCTCAGAGCGGCTTACAAACTCCTTTCCCTTCCCCTCCCCACAACAGACACCCTGTGAGGTAAAAGAAGAAAAAGAAGAAGAAGAAGAGATTGGATTTATACCCCGCCCTTCACTACCCAAAGGAGTCTCAGAGCGGCTTACAAACTCCTTTCCCTTCCCCTCCCCACAACCGACACCTTGTGAGGTAAAAGAAGAAGAAGAAGAGATTGGATTTATACCCTGCCCTTCACTACCCAAGGGAGTCTCAGAGCGGCTTACAAACTCCTTTCCCTTCCCCTCCCCACAACAGACACCCTGTGAGGTAAAAGAAGAAGAAGAAGAGATTGAATTTATACCCTGCCCTTCACTACCCAAGGGAGTCTCAGAGCGGCTTACAAACTCCTTTCCCTTCCCCTCCCCACAACAGACACCCTGTGAGGTAAAAGAAGAAGAAGAAGAGATTGGATTTATACCCCGCCCTTCACTACCCAAGGAAGTCTCAGAGCGGCTTACAAACCCCTTTCCCTTCCCCTCTCCACAACAGACACCCTGTGAGGTAGTAGGTGGGGCTGAGAGAGCTCTTGACAGAAATGGTTCTTTTTCAAGAACAGCTCTTATCAGAACTACGGCTTGCCCAAGGTCATCCAGCCAGGTGCAAGTGGAGGAGTGGGGAATCAAACCCGGTTCTCCCAGAGTAGAGTCCACGCACTTAACCACTACACCAAAAGAGGGAGTAACTCTTTTTAGGATTGCACTGTTAATCTCTCTTGCGGATTTCATCTCACTTCCATCCGCTCACAAACCCATATTCCCCCCCCCCCAAAATGCATATTCTTTACTCCTTCAAATATAGTGAGCGGCTGAAGAATTTTTGGCCCTAACTTCCCCAAGTTGGAGTCACAATTCACATGAACCAAAAGTATCACCTCACTCCACCCGCACTGTTTCTGCAGTCTGGACCAATTGCAATTACCACCTGAATACCATCCTTTTCGATTTAGTACAGCAACTAGTACAGCAACTATCACAGTTCGATAGAATGAGGCAGAATAATTAGGTTGAGTGGCTGATGATTGTCTCTGAAGGAAAATTCATAAAACAATGGTGGTCCGATGGCTCCTCTCAGACCAATAGGGCTTGATGCCATTTGCAACTGGGAATCACGCAGTTGGCATCGCTGCTTCCCTCACCACTGCAACCAAGTCTAGGGGAAGAGATGGAAATAGAATGGAAAGCACCAGATCGTTTATCGAAACATCATGGTAACAGCTGTTGCCACCACAGAGTAGCTGACTACACAGAAGTGCTGCAATAGTTCATATGTGTTTGCTTCACTACTCGTCTAAATTTAAACTTACCGGACATTCGGTAATATTCTGAGTCCACAGGCTCATGTTGGAGCTGTCCTCAATGGTTGTACATCGCTTCTGCTTCTTATCCCAGCCACAATATGGGTCCCTCGCACCCAGGCACGCACTGTATATAGACAGAGAGGAAAGATTAGTGCTCTTTCACAGACTGGGATGCTATCAAGCCAGTTATTCAAGCGCAGTGGCTTCTGTGTGACAGCTGCCAACGATGCTGAGCTTCAGCAGCAGAAACAAATTTCTTCCGGAGAACGTTTCACCTGCAAGAAAGGTCCAAGATGGCCAAAATAACAAGGTGATGACAGCACAAAATAGTAAATATCACTCGGACAAATGACAGGAAAATATTCACTCTATTCCAAGGCCTGGAGGATGGCGAAAAAATTGTTTCGCAAATGCAGTCAAAGAACGTTTGTCCATATAATAGCCTTGTGTTCCTGAATAACGGTGTATTGGCTCTTTCTCCTACAAAGTGCCTTTTGTGTGAATGTTTTCTGAAATAATTCAGAGAGGTTAGACAAGCAGAGAGAGCTAGTGGACCAATATTAAAGGTTATTAGCCTTGGCTTTTCTTTTGAACAATGGCCGCATTCATAATCATAACTTCATGCAGCCAGCCTGGAATAGATACCAAGTAAACGTTATTTAGGAGTGTGGGTTGTATTCTTGTTGGTTCTTCCTGTCAAAGGCCATGGCTTCGGAAGGGAAAGAATAATGCCTTTTTTTTTTTGGGTGATGTTCAATAATGGGTGGATTTGTATTTATGTCCATGTTTATAATCGTCAGGGCTCTTTTTGTAGAAAAAGCCCAGCAGGAACTCATTAGCATAATAGGCCACACCCAACAGCAGAAACTCATTAGCATATTTGGCCACAACCCTGACAGCACAGCTCATTAGCACATTAGGCCGCACCCCCATGTTACCAGAAGTGTGCTCATCCAGCTACACCCACCTTTTGCTTCTTATTCTGTTTACCTTGTTTGTTGTCAAAACCCAGGGCTTTTTTTGTAGCAGGAACTCCTTTGCATATTAGGCCACACACCCCTCATGTAGCCAATCCTAATGAGTTTCTGCTGTTGGGTGTGGCCTATTATGCTAATGAGTTCCTGCTGGGCGTGGCCAGTTCGGGAGCCAGCCGGAACTCCATTCCTGTGCGTTCCTGCCCCAAAATAGCCCTGATCTGTACATGCACACATATTTTTGTGAACTACTGAAGAGATATTTATACCCTGACTCGGATAGGCTAGGCTAGCTTGATCTTATCAGATCTAGGAAGCTAAGCAGGGTCAGCCCTAGTCAGTATTTAGATGGGAGACCACCAAGGAAATCCAAGGTCACTACGCAGGACCAGGCAATGGCAAACCACCTCTGAACGTCTCTTGCCTTGGAAACCCTACAGGTGACATAGAAACAGAGCTGGAAGGGAGCTCAAGGTACATCTAGAGCTCAAGGGTCATCTAGTCCAACCCCTGCACAAGTACCTCACCCCAGTCCCCCAGTGATTCCCACTCCCCCAGTGACACCAACAGTACTTTCCCATCTGGATTTCTGGCTGTGGCTAATGTGGAATAGAAATATTCAGACTGAATGCACATGATGCGAAATGCAGTTTCCCATTTGACAGGTGAAGGAACCTCCATTTTCATGTTGCTCGTCACTTGTGAATGTGCTTGATACAGCCGTTATTTTATTTATTTAACTTAAAACCTTTTTGCACTGCCTTCCCACATGATCAGGGTCCACAAGGGAGCAAACATTAAAAAAAAACTTAGCACATTTGAGCCATTAAAATACATTTAAAATTATAAAATGATTCAATTAAAACATTTCAACAACACCACAAGGAGGGCCAGCCATTGTTATTGGGGATAAGCCAGATAGCACAAGTCTTCAGCTGCTGGTGAATGACACTGTTCTGGTGCCGTGACTGAGAAGGCTCTTTCATGGCTTCATGTCTAACTAGGGTTGCCAAGTGTTACCTGTATCCGGAGTGGGGGACTCCCGGCTTGCTCCGGGAGTGCGCGCGCGCCGCACGCACGTCACCTGAAAGTGACGTGATGACGCCAGGCATGCTGGGGGTGGGGCCACGACTATCCGAGGGATGGTCGTGGCCCCACCCCCAGTGTGCCCGGTGTCGTCACGTCACTTCCGGGTGACGTGCATGTCGGGGTGGGGTTCCCCCCGGGGCCCGATCTGCCGGCGGCAGGGAACGGGCCTCTGGGGCGGGGGTTTCCCCGCTCCCCAGGGGGACTTGGCAAGCCTATGTCTAACTTCAGATGGCAGGGGCAACCAAAGCAGTGCCTCTGAAACTGACCAGAGTGTACAGGTAAATTTGTACGGCAGAAGGTAGTCCTTAAGGTACCTTGATCTCAAGCCATACAGAGCTTTAAAGGTCAATACCAGCACTTTGAATTGAGCCCAGAAGTGAACTGGACATGAGAGTAGATGGAACAAGACTGGAGTGATATGGTCTTTATGATCCACGCCAGTCAGCACTTAACAGTTAACAATATACTGGTTGGTATCGGTGGCAACAGAGAAAAGTAATTCCTTTCCCTGGGAGATCTGTCTATCTCTCTTGCTCGTTGTATTTCACCAGCAAGTGAAGGCTTTTTTCTTTCATCTGGCGTACCTTTACTGACCCTTCTTGTTTGTTTTTAATTTGTTTTTAATTCTCAGACCCCTGTGGATGAGAGGACTCGAGCCTCTGCTCCCCAATGTAGGAGAAGGCGTGTGTTGGTAATTGGGGATTCCCGACTGAGAGGGGTAGAACCTAAAGCGTGCCGACCAGACTTGTCATCTCAAGAGGTATGCTGTCTACTGGGTGCACATATCCAGGATGTGACGGAAAGGGTAGGAAGACTCATCAAGCCCGTGGTTTATTATCCCTTCTTGCTTGTCCACGTGGGAACAAACGATATCGCCCAGCACAGGCCAGAACGTATTAAAAGAGACTATGTGGCTCTGGGCAAAAGGGTGAAGGAATTGGGAGCACGGCTTGTATTCTCGCCAGTTCTTCCTGTCAAAGGCCGTGGCTTCAGAAGGGAAAGAAGAATGCTGCAGATCAGTGACTGGCTACGTAGATGGTGTCATCAGGAAAGGTTTGGATTTTTGGACCACGGCTTACGCTTTCGAGGTGAAACTCTTCTATCGGGAGATGGTTTGCACCTCACAAGGGTAGGAAATATGAGAGAGAGAGCTACGGAGAAAGAGGATTGATTTTTAATCTCTTTTAATTGTTTGCCACTTTGAGGGACCTAATTGGGCAGAATGGCAGCACATAAATGTGTACACAAAATAGTCTACATAATGAATTGACTCAACTGCCTTTACTACAAAATCAAAAGTGTCTGAAACAGATCATACAACAGCAGATGCTATGCTATCAAGGCTGAAATCAAGTTGGAACAAGCCAGTACAGAAGAAGAAGAAGAAGAAGAAGAAGAAGAAGAAGAAGAAGAAGAAGAAGAAGAAGAAGAAGAAGAAGAAGAAGAAGAAGAAGAAGAAGAAGAAG